AAAAAAAAAAAAAAAAAAAAAAAAGGCCTCCTGACTCTGCAGGCCCTAAATCCTCAGCACAAAGATCAAAGGAAACAATTTCCACAGTCTCTGTGTGATCTTTTGTAACAGATTTCTTGCATGCCGAAGCTGTTACGAAGCCTGCATTTGGAAGGACCTTACACCTTTCTCTGAGACGGTTTTGGAGAACTCTGTACTTCATTTATATTCCCAGTGGGCCAATTTTAATACCGATGAGTGAAGGTAGTTCCCAAGCACTGGCTTCCTGTTTCCTATGTTTCAGATAAGAGGATCTGTTTATGAGGTGCTTTTTTGGTTTTCTTTGAACAGCGTCAGAAAAAAAGACACAATACAGATTTAGACTTCCATATATTAATGACCACCCCTTAAAAACATTAAGAAAAAAATTGCAGAGTTGAGACAAGGTTTATCCCTTTTTTTGACCACTGTAAGTTCTCTTTATTAGAAGCAGGGGGAAACGCCTTTTTCCACTACTCTTTGGTTGATCTGCAACGCTGTCCTCTACTTTGTAGCGCAAAGATGCAGGAACTTCTATGTTTCAATCATAAAAAATAAAAAAAATGTGTTACAGTTTCCTGGCTTGTCTCCTTCAGCTTGTGGAGAACACTTAAGTTGATCCCATCTACACAGGAAGCCCTGTGGCTGGTTGTCATCAGTTTCTTTTAGAAGAAGTACAAAGATCAGATAATTAGTGGACATTTCACACATATTTTTAAAAAGATATTTTCAATAAACCAAAGGAATAGTAAATTAGGAAACAAATTTTATGTTAGACCTAGAACTTCAGTTCTAAGAGATAAAGCTTTGATCATATTCAACATCTGAGTGATGACAGTGGGTTTAATTATTATTTAATAAGAAGAATGTATTTGGATACATATGGTAGGATGTCTTTCCTTGACTCTTCTGTTCCTCAATTTTGGTCCATTTCTGTACTTTGAGGGTACACTGAGAGGAAGTCAAGTTAGACAAAAGCTACCAATGATTTCTTATAATTGTTTGCTTTCAAGGAAATAAAAGGTAAATTCAATTGAGGGTTTTGTATGTGTGAGTTTCCTTTGGTCATATTATCTTTATTATCAAGAACCAAAACCCACAAATTATTTAATTTCTAGACAGACATGTAGCATTTAAAGATATGGCACTTCTCATTGCAGAAGAATTTCCAGAATGACTCTGAAAATGCCTGGGGAAAATTGAGA